AAAATTTTGGAATGAGGAGCGAATGTTTCTAATTCCATCTTAAATTGCCATACCTGTGCAGACCACGTTGGATCCACTACCTGTGTTGGTATAACCAGTTTTACAGGTGCATACTACTGCATTGGTCTTAGCATCATGTGAGCAAACGGCGTTTGCATCACAGCCTCCATTGTTGACAGCGCAACTGTCTGAAATAAAGTGAGAGGGAGGGAATCTTTTTGATTCCATCTTAAATTATCATACCTCTGCATACCATGTTGGATCCACTACCTGTGTTGGTATAACCAGTTTTACAGGTGCATACTACTGCATTTGTCTTAGCATCATGGGAGCAAACGGCGTTTCGATCACAAGCTCCATTCCTGACTGTGCAACTGTCTGAAATATAGGGATGGGGGCGAATTTTTTTAATTCCATGAGAAACCATCATACCTGTGCACACAATGTTGGATCCAGTACCTGTGTTGGTATAACCAGTTTTACAGGTGCATACTACTGCATTTGTCTTAGGATCACGTGAGCGAACGGCGTTTCGACCACAAGCGTCATTGCTTTCTGAGGAAATGTCGAAAATTTTGGAATGAGGAGCGAATGTTTCTAATTCCATCTTAAATTGCCATACCTGTGCAGACCACGTTGGATCCACTACCTGTGTTGGTATAACCAGTTTTACAGGTGCATACTACTGCATTNGTTTCTTAATACATCTTAAATTTACTTACCTGTGCAGACAACGTCGGATCCTCTACCAGTGTTGGTATAACCTGTTTTACAGGTGCATACTACTGCATTTGTCTCAGGATCACGTGAGCGAACTGCGTGTCGACCACAAGCCTCATTGCTTTCTGAGGAACTGTCTGAAATATAGGGATGAAGAGCGAATATTTTTGATTTCATCAGAAATCGTCATACCTGTGCAGACAACATTCGATCCGCTACCAGTGTTGGTATAACCAGTTTTACAGGTGCATACTACAGCATTTGTCTTAGCATCATGGGAGCAAACGGCGTTTCGATGACAGCCTCCATTGCTGACTGTGCAACTATCTGAAATAGAGGGATGAAAATGGAATGTTTTTGATTCTCTCAGAAATCTTCTTACCTGTGCAGACAACATTGGACGCGTTACCTGTGTTGGTATAACCGGTTTTACAGGTGCATACTACTGCATTCGTGGTAGCGTCGTGTGAGCAATCGGCGTTTGCATCACAGCCTCCGTGGTTGGCAGTGCAACTGTCTGAAGTATGGAGATGAGGAGGGAATGCATCTATCTTATCGGAAATCATCGTACCTCGGCAGACAACTCGGCGATGGCAACCAATGTTGGTGTAACCAGCTTTGCAGGTGCACTTCCTTTGATCGTTGCCAGCATCACTTGAGCAAATGGCGTTTGGGTCATCAGCGCCATTGTCGGCGGGGCAACTCTCTGAAAGACAGAAATGACGAGGGAATGTTTCCACCTTACGCGAAATTATCATACCTGCGCAGACAACATTGTCGGCGCTACCAGTGTTCGTATATCCAGCTTTACAGGTACATTTTACGGCATTTTTCTTAGCATCATGTGAGCAGAAGGCGTTCGGATCACAAGCTCCGTTGTTGACAGTGCAACTATCTGAAATATAGAGATTGCGAGGGAATGTTTCCATCGTTCTTGAAATCATCATACCTGTGCAGACAACGGTGGAGCCGCTACCTGTGTTGGTATAGCCGGTATTACAAATGCATTGCACTGCATTTGTCGTAGCATCATGCGAGCAATCGGCGTTTGAATGACAATCTCCATTGTTGACAGTGCAACTATCTGAAATATAATGATGATGAGGGAATTTTTCCATCTTGCTGAAGATTATCATACCTGTGCAGACAACTTTGTCATCACAACCAGTGTTGGTATAACCAGTTTTACAGGTGCACTTCATTGCGCCTGTAGTTGGGTCGTCTGAACAAAGAGCGTTTTGGTCACATCCACCATTGTTTTCACTGCAGGAACCTAAAACAGAGTAATCGTTTTTAGGGTGTTGGTGGAAAGTCTAATTGGGTGCCGATGCGGACGTGACTAATGTCCGGCTTTGCTAGTCGACGGCACACGTAGCAGCACCAACATTCCCTTCGGTTGATTTCTTTGAATCATACAGAAATGAATTTCATTGCAAAATTTATCAGAAAAAGGAAAGTGAATGCATTTTTTTGGGATTGCATGAATAAATGTGATTGTTGAACTTTATATTATCGACTCGGGTTGTGTTAGATGACATGAAATGGTCGCACAACTATAACGAAAGTACAAAAACTGGGCGACAGCTCTTATTTTGTTTAGGTAGCAAGTTGAATCATCTAGATCAACCAATCTGCTAGAAGTGTAGCTGTCACAACATTTGTTTTCATTATACTGCAGAATATCATAGGTCTATAAGATGTAATCTATAAACTTACTGTGTGCAGATCCACCGTGAAATGCTTGTAACAAGAATACCAGCAATGGTAACCATGCATAAAGCAAAGGACCATATAATGCCATTTTGCGAATCAACAGCTTCGATTTGTGTGAGTTTGAAAGTGTTTTGAAAACGAAAAAAATCCGAGGATTTATAGTTCTCGATAAATCTGGCGCAGCGAGAGGGAGCACATATTGAAGAAACAATTGAATGTGAACGCGTAACAGCTTGTGTCCATTAAGTTGCATGATTTTGGGCCAGGCAGATGTCACACATATGTTTTTGATGAATGGTTAAATATTTGAAAAATCAACGTCGCATTTTAAAATAATCTCGAAATAGACTTAATAGCATCCCACGTTGTTGCCATGTACTTTTTTCTGTGAACTGTAAAATTTCAAGGATTTTAGCCATCATTTCTTCAAGGTCGCCACCTCCAAAAAAGCTTTTTTTTCTTGTGAAACATCGTAGAAGCAAGATCTTAATCATAATAAAAGTCATAGAAAAATGTATCGTTTCAGATCCTAAAATTTTCGCTAGAACATAAGCACATTCACATTATTCTTCTATCAAGATCTGCAATAAGTTCTGAGACATAGATTTGTAAAAGTTTAGTAACACGTATCATAGACCTTCAGTTTGTTTTTGTTTGTTTTTTATAAGTTTTATTGTACTAGCATTTCATACAGGTAATTATATATGTAGCTTCTCAAAAGAGATACTTTTTAATTAAGCATACCGCTATTTAAAAGTGCCTATAGCTATTTAAAGTCCTATTGCATGTGAAAATCGTATAGCTGTTTAAAACTATCAATAGTTATTAAACCTATTATATACTTATGTAAAATCGTGTACATCGATTTTAAATTATATTCCAAAAAAAAAGAATATTTTGAATGAAACAAACAGTTTTTATGTTTCTTTTTCAAAAGAACTACATATCAAATTAAATTACTTCACACTTATATGTACTCTTCATTATAGTTATTTAATTTTTTTCATATTTATTAAAAAATTAAATGGGCTATTAAAAATACGTAGTACATTTATTTCTAACATCATAGTATTCTTCAATTACTTCCTCTTATTCTTTCTAATTCTGGTCAAACTCTTCTCGTTTTTTAATCCTGCTCAAACAATATACAGTGAAACCTCTCTAAGATGAACACCGACGGGACTGTTCAAAGCGCGTTCATTAAAGGAGGTGTTCATCTTAGAGAGGTGTCATGTTAAATGAAGTCAATATATGTATATAGTGCATGGTTAGTATATAGGAATGATAAATATACACCTTTTATACTAATATCTATTACGGCCAGTGCCAAATTTTAAAAAATCGTTTTTATCTACTGTACATACTTCTTTATTTATCTTGTAACAAAGGAAAACACTATTTTATTGATTTGAACTATTAAACATCTATTCAGTTTTAAACAAAAAAGTGAACAAAGTTGTCATCTATTTGCATCTAATCATTTTTTATGAAAAAAGTCTTTAATTGTTGCTTGCTTGACTCCTTTTGAGTCGATGAAAAGTTGAGTGAGTTGCGAATCCAATTGAGAAATAAGTGTATGTAATTGTGGTTGTTGAGTTGCAGCTAAAACGTGTAGTCGCCGAACCATGCACATTGCTTCGATGAGTTTAGGTGGTGCTTCAGTTGGCATGTCGTCATCTTCGTTGTTATCTGTGGTTATATTATCACCACAGTCTGCATCGACGGCAATCAGATTATCATTGATATCGTTCCATTCGTTGAAAACTGGAGTTTCTGAATCTATTTCGATGAATTCATTAGCAGTAAGACTAAGTCCACCGATGGTGATATGAGTAAGAAGTGTATCTAAATCTTGTATAGCTGTTGCGACGTCGTCATCGCTATTATTAATCATTGTATCACTGCTTTCACTTTGAGTGTTTGGATTGGCGAAACCTGTCATACGAAATGTATTGCAAATTGTCGATTGTGTAACAGCTTGCCAAGCGTTTTTTGTCCAGTGAGCCGCATCAAGAGCTGTGATGACAATATCATCACATGAATTGGCAACGTCACAGCTTAATATTACATGTTTAACAAGCTGTTGCCCTAAACAAATAGATTGTGTTGATTAGAAAAGTTAAAGCAGTCGTATTACTCACGATAGTAACACTTGAAATTTTTGATAATTCCCTGGTCCAAAGGCTGCAGCTTTAAAGTTGTATTAGGAGGAAAAAATGTAAGAGTAATGTTGGAATATTGAGTATCGGAATTATGGCAAGGAGCATGATCGATGAATAATAAGATTTTACGATTTTGCTTGATCATGCTGTTGTTTATACTAGCAAGCCATTCACCGAACAGACTAGCAGTCATCCAAGTTGTACGATTCCACCGCCATATGACAGGTAATTGTTTCATACTCAGATTTTTAAAACAGCGTGGTTTTGCCGCTTTGCCTATAACAAAAATATAAACAAGAATGATTAGTTTCAATCAAATCTAGAATTAGAAACGTACCGATTAGCAACGGCTGTAACTTGTCGGCTCCTGTCATGTTCGTGCAAAGAAGAACGGTGCAACGTTCTTTGGATCGTTTCCCACCCTTGCAAGTTTCTTTCACGGTGACGAGCGAACGATTAGGTAAAGCTTTGAAAAATAAGCCAGTTTCGTCAGCATTGTAAACGTCGTTGGGATCGTATTCATCAATGATTGATGAAAGTCGATCTCGCCATTCCTCAACAGTTGCAATGTCCACTGCTGCAGATTCTCCACATATGGTTCGATATTGTATGTTGTGACGTGTTCTGAATTTTTCAAGCCAACCATTACTGGCCTTAAATTCATCAGGATTCGCACCACCCAGTTGTCGACGAATTTCTCGGGCTTGTGCTTGTATGAGTGGACCTGAGATAGGAATGTTCTTACTACGCTGAATTGCGAACCATTCGTAAACTTTTTGATCAAGTTGTTGATTTAATTCATCTCGAAAGTTGCGTTTCTTTGTTGAGTTTTCATTATGTTCGTAATTTTCGATGTATTCTGCCTTGCTTTTAATAATATTTGGCACACTACCGATCGAGATCTTGTAATAATCAGCAAGTGTACGATAAGAAGTGTTATTTTCATTTTCACGAATTAATTGCACTTTTTCAGATAAGGTAAGTGTGTGTTTTGTCGCCATTTTACAATTGAAAGAGAAATGTGCGTTATTCTCTCACACAGAATCGATTAACTCATCGCGGACTATTCATTTTCATTGTTCTGTTTGTGTCATACATACGACAAAGTTCATTATGGCGAATTGACCGTCCAAATTTGATTTATCATTGTTTTATTATGTGGAATCTATTTTTTCATCTACTTATTTCATACACGAAAGCGTAATTGGTCAGTGTATGTTCACTATAGAGAGGTGTTTTTCTACAGAAAGGACTGAAAAAAGTGTTCAATGTTCAGAGTTGGGAGATGTTCATCTTGCAGAGGTACATTTACAGCAAAAATCGATCGGGGGTTCCGAGACATCTGTTCAAATGGGAGGTGTTCATTATAGAGAGGTGTTCATTAATAGAGGTTTCACTGTATGAGAAGCAATTTAAGATTTTGTTCCAATAAATATTAAGCTATTCCTGTAGGTATTTAAAATTAGATATCTTTTCAGAACTATCTCTATCTATTAAAAAAAAAAGAGGAAAACAGCGAAATAATAAACACTATGTAAAACTTTTATTTCGAATCATATATATGTATATTAAAATTATCTCTCAGAAAAAAAATATTTGCTTCAATGATACAAACAGTTTATTTATTTATTTATCTTTAAATCTGTATATCTATTGAAATTTGCGTATAACTATTTAATTTTTGAAATAGCTTTTAAAAGATAAATATTGTTATTTTAATAAAATACAGTTACGTCTTGTAAAATAAATTAAAATTTATTAAATATTCTATCGAAATATGATGCTTTTTTAAATCTACTATGCAAAATAATTTAATATGAAATTAGAAAAGAAAAAACTTCATTCCATGTTTACGATAAAACTTTTCAAGTCCTTACTTATGTACATTTCTGTATAAATACGTATATCTGATATACTATATACTTATTTTAAATTACAATATATTACACATTTTTCATCTAAAATGAACAACCATTCTTTTTCAAATAAAGATATCAGACATACATCAATCGTAATGGCTAGTACAATATATTAAAAAGTAAAAATCGTTTTGAATACAATCAAGAATCTGATATTATATCATTCTTGTTTAATTTCAGAATTCAACAATTTACCAATATATATACACAGTAAAATCTCTCTTATCTGAGCACTGTCGGTACTTTGAAAAATCGTTCAGATTAACAGGGTGATCACAAAGGAGGGGGTAGGGGTGGTACTTCACGTTAATTTAATATTAAGTTTTAAGTTTTAACTTAACACTTAATATTAATAAAAAATGTTTGATTAGCCACTTAATATTAAGTGTTAACGAAACACTTAATTGTTAATATTAAGTGTTAACGAAACACTTAATTGTTAATATTAAGTGTTAAGCTTTTCGCGTTAACACTTAATTCACTTAAAATTTAGTGTTAAATATGAATAATATTTCGTTTTATTTTGAGTATGTAGCTAGTACAGACATAAAAACTATTAATAGAATATTATTAGTATAAAAACGGTAAAATCCTTATCCGCTAGGAAAAGTTTTCTTTTTCGGCAAGAAGTATTATTTCTCAGATTTGAGTGGATACTATTTCGTGTGAGAGTAAATAAACTTGCTATTACTGCGTTGAGACCTCGATGATATGCATATATACAGTATATATGCATATATACAGTATATATATATATATATATATAAGGTGCGCGTAATTCAAACTTACAGCACTTCTTATTTTTTGCTTAAATATATATCAATAGATTCGGTGTTTCAAGCTGATCACGAATATCTACTTACTTTTTCGATTCGAGAAAATCTTCATGGGGAAAACGGCAAAAAACTGAGAGGGTGTAAAAATCAGCAAAAAATTGCTTTTTGGGAAACAACGTTTATTTTTTTCCTGTTCAACTTTCACTTCTCACCGATTTGATTTTCTAATTCCTCGTAGAAAAATGAGTCTAGATATGTTATTTAGCGCTTTATCAGATGTTGCATATTCAATTTGAAAAGACGAGCTTTCAATATGAC